TGATTGCCCAGCGGCCTCCCGACGACGTGCTGCGCAAGCGGCCTCGCGAAGATGCGCTGCTCGAGGCCGAGCGCTCGCACCAGCGGCGCCGCATCGAGCTCGTCGAGGAAGACAACCAAGTTCTTCGCTATCGGGCGGTGCTGGCGGAGGAGCGCGTTGTTCGACTTCAGGGTGATATGGACCTGCTCTGCCGATTCATCACGCGCTAAAGAAAAAAGTCCGCCCAATGCTCAAATGGTGCGCAGCCTCTTTAAGCGATAATGACTTCCTCGATGGCCTTCCGATGCGTGCAGGCATGGCTTCTGGAAAAGCCCGCTGCGTGGGTGGAGAAAGACGCTCCTAGCCTTGCATGGCCCAGCAACGCGCTGAGCAAGCGGCCTCGCGAAGATGCGCTGCTTGAGGCCGAGCGCTCGCACCAGCGGAGCCGCATCGAGATCCTCAACGAGCAGCTAGTCGAACTCCTCGAGAAGAGGCTCGATGGGCTCGAGGTCCTGGAGGGAGTCTGGAAAGAGGTGGACACCGTCTCTGCGGCTCTTCGCACCCCTCTAGGGCCTTTTGCTGCGTGCAAGCATGGCTTCTGGAAAAGCCCGCTGCGTGGAGAAAGACGCTCCTAGCCTTGCGGCCGCTCTGATGGCCCAGCGGCCTCCCGACAAGCGGCCTCGCGAAGATGCGCAGCTCGAGGCCGAGCGCTCGCACCAGCGGCGTCGCATCGAGCTCCTCGAGGACGCGGAGGCAAAACTCCTCGAGAGAGTCGAAGAGCACGAGATCCTGGCGCAAGTCTCCAGAGAGCTGGACGACGTTGCTGACGTGGCTCTTCACACCCCGACCACGCGCGCCCAGCGGGCAGAGCTTGCCCTGCGCTGGCTTGAGGCTGATGGCGTGTGGCGCGGGCAGTGGTTTGAGTGGGACGTGCCTTACTACTGCACGCTTGGCTGCAGTAGGCAAAAACCAAAAATTTGCTCCCCAAAATTCTCGCACACGTCAGCTCCGATAAGCCTGAGCTGTCCAGGAACAAGCGTGGTTCCTTCCCTTCTGCATGCACGACGTTGAGTTTGCCTACTGCCGTGCCATGCATCTTTGCGGACGACCCATCCGTTCGAGATTTCTTTTTCCAAAAGGGCCGACACTGTGTCGGCCGTGTGCGGGGTGAATTCAAAGTGCAATGTCCCAGAACGCATCAGCCTGCCCATGGCATCCGATGTGCGCCTGTATGCCAGAAGACACGCGCGCTTCATTTAAAGGCGCAAGTTTCTTTAAAGCCGCACAAAAGCAAATTCAGGTGCATCCAAGCGAACATGGCTTGCTCCTGTTTCGCTTCGCAACGCTCTGTATCATTATAGAGTATGCCATTTCGGAGCACGCTTCTCCATATTGGTGCAACGCACAGGAGTGTTCCTGCTCAGGCTTTTGCGCGGCATCCTGTCATGCCACCCGCACAGAGCTTGGCTGTTTGTAGATGACCTCCTGGCCGCGCTGCGCCGCCCAGACGCGCGTCAGCAGTTGGCCCTGGTGGATTCTTCGCAGACATCAGCGTGCCCATTTCCTGCAAAAAAATACAATTTCAGAACTGCCTGACACGGTGCGGATGGTCAATCAACTTCAGCCTGGAAACCATTCAGCTCACTCCGCTCAAAACCCTGAAGCTCAAAGAGCAACTTTCCGCTTTGCTCCACTCCCAAAGAATCAAAAGAAAGCTTTTGGAGCAAGTCCTGGGGCTGCTCATCTGGGCCACTAGCCGAAGTTTGGAATTACGGTCTTGGCTTGCGCCTCTTTATGCAGATCTGCATTTGCCGCCGGGTTCATGATCTCAGTGCACGCACGCCTGTGGCCCGCATTCCTGTCGGCACAAAACGCCAAAGCCGTACTGGCATCTTCCGTGCACGGCATCTTCACGCCGCTCGGCTCCAGGGTGTTAGAACACCAGCAAACCCCAACACGCAGCTCCTCCGACTTGCCTCGCATCGTGCCCAGCCACAAACCAGCATGGGTGCGCGTCGCCGACCCAGCTGCCGAGCACACCCGCTTATCCACAGCAAGCAGTGCTAACGTTGCATGGCTCTTGCAGTGCTTTCAGGCATATTTGGCATGCCCGCTGCGAAGCAAGCCAATCCTTGCATGCAAAGCAGCCGCCGATGCTTGCGCCGAAGGCAGGCATAGGTGGCTGGTTTGTCTCCAGCAGCTCGGTCTCCTGGTTTGCAGAAACGTGGGAGTTCCAAGAAGTCCAGCAGCAGTGGCCTTTTCTCACAAAGGAGGCCCAACGCCGCATAGCGTGCTTCGAAACCCTGGCCCAACTCGCACTCATGCGCATCGCTTGGAGTGCCGAGGGTCAAGCCGTGCATTGTTTCTGCATGCCTTCCGGCACGGACAACACAGCCTCAGAGGCAGGCGAGAACAAATTGTTCGCAACAGCATGGCCTTTGCAGGTTTTTGTGCAGTTAGTCGCCGCATGGGCCTAAAAGCACAAATGGTCAGTGCTAGCCTCGCATATCCCAGGCAAGCGCAACGTGTGGGCTGATCAGCTCAGCCGCGGCAATACGTCCGCTTTCGACAGCAAGCCGCAAGCTCGCTTTTGTTTTCGCCCGCATTTTTTTCTGGCCCCACCAATGCAAGCTTTCGCTGCATCCGCCCGACGCCCCGTGGCGACCGGAGCATGTAAGTGCTTCGCAAACGCTCTGAAGAGGGGATGGATATTTAGGCCGTTTGCTTGGAACCCTGAAGTGGGGGCATATGAGAAGGCTCCGCAGTGGGGTGCAGACACGGGGAAAGGACACGCGCTGTCTTTCCCCCTGCACCTCCAAGCCTTAACTTCCAAGCAACGCCTCATAAAGAAAAAGAGCGTGCGTACATGTTTGTCGGTCGCACCTCTTTTATCTTTGGCTGCGTGTTGCCTTTTTCGGATTGAAGCAGTGATCAAGATTCTAACGTTTAGGGTTTTCTTTTCCCTTATGTTTTAATCTTGATCGAATCTTCGGACGCGTTGCCGTTTTCTGCTTCAAGCCATCATGCGTGAGGGTTACCCCTCACTTTTTTGCGCACCCTCCCACCCTTTCAACACTCAGGTGGATCCTCCAGGGCCCAGCCGCGGCTGGCGCCCCAGCGTTGTTGTGCTTACCTTGCAACACCTTGCTGCGCACTAGCGGACGCACGCTTTGCATCTTCCAGGTCCAGCCGCATGGCATGCCCCGGCATGCTGTAACTGCCGCCAGGCCCCAAGCTGGCGCCGTGTGCCCCATTGCACACCAGCTGGTTGCACGCTTTGCATCCTGCTTGGCTATGTGTGCCGCAACGCGCACCAGCCGGATGCCTACATTGCACCCGGCCGCCATCAATGCCTTCGACTGTCTCACGCCTCACAGGTAACAGACCTGACACTTGGTCAAACACGCACTGTTGACCACGAGGGCATATGAGAAGGCTCCGCAGTGGGGGGAAAGGACACGTGCTGTCTTTCCCCCAAGCCTTAACTTCCAAGCAACGCCTCATAAAGAAAAAGAGCGTGCATACATGTTTGTCGGTCGCACCTCTTTTATCTTTGGCTGCATGTTCCCTTAAGGATTGAAGCAGTGATCAAGATTCTAACTTATGAAGAAAAAGAGCAAGCGCACCCTTTGTCGGTCGTTCTCTTTTGTCTCTTGATGCATGTTCCCTTACGGATTGAAGCAGTGATCAAGATTCTAACCTTTTGGGCACCTTGCTGCACTCGTTGCAGGCCTCAGCAAGGCGCAGGAGACTGGAATGAGACCCAGCGCAGGATTGACGGCAGGGCGATTGAAGGTGAAAAAACACGATGTCAGTGATATGACGAGAACCATATCACTGACTGACCCTGGCGATGCCTTTTATTGCTGAAAACCATCAGCGGATGGCGAGGGCCATACAAGTTCCGCACTGAAAAAACGCAATCGGCGCACATTCGGAGTCCGGCGATTGTAGGCACGCTGGCCTTAAATTTGGAGCGTAGCACGTGTTAGTTTCTGACACATGCTTGGGGATGAATCCAGTAAGTCGAGACTTGCGCTATGGACCGAGATCGGAATTCGGACGTGGCGCGGCTTGGCATCCTGGTGTCCCAGGCCGAAGCCTGGGAGAGCTGGGACATCTGAGACAGGGGTGAGACACCTGAGACACCTGAGACAAACACGAGCAGAAGTGTTTTAAATGTGTCTCAGACCTGTTTGAGCAATCACAAGCCAGCCAGCGAAAGATGAAGCGCTTCAATACCAGGCCATTGTTGAAACAATATTAAGGCATCTCGGAACGGAAGGCCAACAATGGATCAATATTGGCGCAGCAGCGAACTGCGGCAGTATGCAGCAGCAGCGGACCGCAGCGACAGCTGCAGACTGCCGCGCGAAAGCGCGAACATGGAACATCGCACCTCTCTCTCTTTAGAGGGGATTCCCCAAACGGGTTTCAATGCACCTGGGAGGGTTCTGACACTCGTCCGTCCAGGAAACGACCTCGTCCTGCGAAGGATTCGAAACTTAAAGTGCTGCGTGCAGGCGTGTGGCTGCAACAAAACGACCCCTTGATTTGCGGTTTGGCAATTTGCCCCGTAGCTGCCTTTGTTTCTGCAAGGCGTGTGAGTGTGTTTGCAATGATTTCTCAGTCATCCGCAGTTGTTTCCGTTTTGGGCTCTTCTTGCATGGAATCGGGGAGTCAAAGCGCTCGGCCGACAAATGTTGCAAGACATATTTGCTGCTTTTCATGGAGCGACGCCATGCTTGTGTGCATTTGCTGCAATTTTGTCCTAGTGAACTGGGGATGTTCTACTTGTTCCATGCTTTTTGTGGATGAGTGACTTTTTCATTGTCTTCAGCTGATCTCGGCATTTCACGCAGACATTTGTCATCAAGCGCAACATGTTTGGCCCTCAAACTGCCAACTCCCCCCCCACCAACATGTGAAGTCTTTCACTTGTCCAACCAGTTTCACTCAGCCAGGCGTGCCAAAACTGAAGCTGGGCCAACATGAGCAGGAAAACCAAACCAACAAACTCTTGGCCTTTCCTAAACCCTCCCGGAAACAAAGTTTTGCCGAATAGAGCCGAACGATGCAACTTCATGGACCTTCGCTTGAGACGTTCGAGGAGCTTCTGGAGAGGATCAGCAGTGGTCTGGAGGAGGTGAATGAGCACGTGCAGAAACTGCAAGAGTATGGCAAGGGACCAGCTCTTCGACTCTCGCGCAACTTCTCGAAGGCATCGGTGATGCACACTTCTTCCCAGCCGTTGCCGTCAGAGGAGTTGCCTTCTGAGCGCAAGGTGAACTTTCAATTGCGCTCCACCACGGTGTCTTCAGTTTCAGCCGAAGAAGATGAATGTTCGGTGCGGAAGAAGCCGCCCTCAGTCTTGCAGGACTTGAAGGAGCAAGCGATAACGTCTACCAAGACCCTTGCACAGATGTCTCGGCAAGCTTCCCAGCACTATGTGCCCCGGGAGACCTGGACCGAGTATGCGGATAAAGGCCAGAACAGCGACTTCCAGGACTTCTTGGAGAGTTGCGTAGAGAGGTACGCGCACAAGAAGGTCACTTCTCAAAGACGTCAATCCATTGATGAAAGCTACCTTGAAAGCGAGGAGGCCAGATCCAGATGCCGGGGCAGGTGCTGCTGCTGCTGCAAGAGGGCCATGATCCATCCGCAGTCGAGGACGAGGTTAATCTGGGACAGCATCAGCGTCATCATGATTAGCTTGGACATCATCATGCTGCCAATGATCTACGGGATGAATATGGGTGACGTGCTGGAGATTGTAGCCGTGGAATGGATTTGCACGATTTTTTGGACCGTGGACATGATCATCACATTTATGACTGGATACATTCTGGGTCCTGATGTCATTATGAACCCGCAGAAGGTTGCCTGCAACTATTTGCGGACTTGGTTTACTATCGACTTTACCATTGTGGGCTCTGAGTGGGCAGCCCGCATCACAGAGTTTGTGAATGGCCTCAATGCCTTCCGTGCTGCCCGCGCTGTGCGCGTGCTCCGCGTGGTGCGTGTGGTGCGGCTGATCCGCCTCGCGCGCTTCGTGAAGACCTTGCACAAGTTCACCGAGCTGACCGGCTCACTGCGCCTGCTCATCCTCTTCAATGTCGCCAAGATGACAGCGCTCTTGCTGCTAGCGGTGCACATCTTCAGCTGTGGCTGGCACTTTGTTGGCTTCTACACGCCTGGAGGCTGGGTGGAGAAGGAGAACTTCTTGGAGGAGTCCGTGCTGGTGAGGTACATTGCAGCTGCTCGCTGGACTTTGGCGCAGCTGAACGGTAGAACTGACCGAGAGGATCGGACCTTCGTGGAGATGTCGTATGTGGCGTTTGCAGCGTGCTTCACGCTGATCTTCATGTCCATCTTCGTGTCAAGCCTCACCTCGCGAATGCTTCAGTTGCAACAGCTCATGGACAAGGAATCAGGTTACAAGCGGCTGTTGCAGAGTTACAACGAGACGCACAACTTGTCGTGGACTACAGTTTACCTGGCACGGCGCCACATTGAGGACCGCACCAATTTGGATAGCGACATGAACTTGGAGAAGGAGCTTTTGCGGCTCTTGCCGGTGCAGACCCAGGCCGATTTGCTGTCAGAGGTGCGCTTTCCTCTGCTTGTACATCACCCGCTCTTCCGCCTTCTTCATGGAGAGTTCTACTCAGTGATCCGCAACATGCTGATCACTGCTGTGAAGCAAGAACCCACCCGGCACATGGAGACCATCTTTGCCAAGGGCAGCGTGTGCCACCAGATGTATTTTGTGGATGGTCAGAGGCTGGTCTACAGCAAGGACACCGGCCTCAAGAACTGGCTGGCCATTTGTGGCTTGGGCTGCGAGCTGCAAACTCGCTCTGCTGCAAACCGCATGCGGAATCTGCTACGGGGTCACAGGGCATTGCAGGCCCAAGAGGGAATTCTCAGCACCTACGAGCTCTCAGAGGGCACCTATCTTTGCGAGGCGAGCTTGTGGGTGGAGAAGTGGTACAACCAGGGTGACTTTGTGTCTTTGGCCCACAGCAAGCTCGTAGTCATCAACTGCGATGCCTTTGCAGAGGCCGTGGCCAAGCACGAAGACACCTTGAAGTTGGTGAGTCTCTATGCTTGCAACTATGTGGCGACGCTCAGGGCCTTGGCAGACGCCAACGAGGTGCTCACCGACCTCCTCGAGAGCGACCTCTTCACTATGCTCGGGGTAGACAAGCCGGAGCTGGAGCGGGTGGCCTCCAATAATAGCTTGCAACGCACGAGCTGGACACGGGCAGGCTTGGTGAACGTGCTGAAGGGATCAGCTCCATTCCTTCGTGCTGCCTCTGGGTCATCTGACTCGGACCTTGGCCGTGCCATGTCTTTCGCTTCGAGCTCAAAGTCATCGTTGGACTTGGGGGCGCACGATTTGCAACCCCGTCAAACCCGTATGGCAACAATACTGTCCGAAGACATGGAAGACTGCACGGCCGATGAGAAGGAAGAGTCCAGCACAGCCGGCGGTTTGGGCACAGAGGTGTGCCTGAAGGAGCCTTGGAAGGTATCGCTATGAGCCTGGCATTATTCATTTGGCGCATCGTGCCTTGACACAGCTGCCGAGAGCTAGCGAGCTCCAAGACAGCATACACCAGCTGGAAGGACTCACCATTGAGTTCTTTGTACTCAAGGCTTCACCCCAGACTCGTCGCCTGAATTGTTGTTCTAGTTGCCTTGGGCCAGCGTGACCCAACGGTCACGTCTGTCTTGTTGTTTGTCAACGTGCGTGGCTGCAAGGAGGCAGCAAAAGGCATTTGGCTAGCCATGCTAGTCAAAGTGTTAGTATCACGAGAGCCCCGCCCATGGCGGCCTTCTGTTGTTGTGGCATGAAGGACTTGAACATGTCCAAGAACCCAAGAAACTCACAATATCCCTGGGCTTGGAACATGGGATTCCCCACTAGCTTCGCAACGCAGGAGGCTGCTGCTTGGAGCATTTGTAGAGAGTCCACCACGCTGCATCACAGAGTGAGCTGCGTGCTACTGAATGAAGGTCTTCCGCACCAAATCCTGCAATCCATCTCTTGCATCGAGTTGTGTGTGTGTGTGTGTGCTTGACGTCAAACTTTTTGCATGCGGTGTCACATGTTTCCAACGGCCCATAGAAAGCTACATGCCGATGCTCGCTCCTTGCAGAGTCCAGCAGAAGTGGAGCAATCATTTGAACTCCCATGCCACCAGTAAGGGCGCAGCACAAAACCTCTCAAGCCACGACATGCAATGTGCTCCTGCGAGTTGCGCAGAGCAACACATGTTTGGGACTGGGCAACCTGAGCTTCAAGCAATCTACTATGCCGGCCGCTTCTTTGTCCAAGGTACTCACTCATGTTTTCCTCTATTTGTAGCAGCTTGCCCGTTGTGTTCTCACATGATCAGGCTAGCTATGCTGTAGCGTCGTGGATGACGCGCGTTGCCGTGTCGGAATGATCTCGCTGAGCCGCCGGGGCCCTCTGCGGACACACGATACAGAACAATTGTTGGAATTCAAGGAATTCTCCTATCCTGAAAGAGGGACACTTTTCATGTTCAGAGTTTTGATATGGCTGGATAGAGCATCTTGCAAGCATCGCCCTTTATCATCGAGACACTGGTACCTTTGTTTTTTGCTTGATTGAAAATCGATTGTTCAAAAACAGCATGAAACAGGAAGGCTCTTGCATGTGTAAGCTCCTACACGCATGGCATTTGCTCAATACCGCCGAAGCTTGCACCGTGTCTGCGAATTGATTCGAGATGGTGGCACACTCTCCACGTTGCAGCCGCGGAACCCCAAACTGAAAGGAGTCGACCATTTTGCTTCGTGTGCAATTGTTGATGCTGTTATAGTCGTTGTTGCTGATATACTGTATGCTATTCCGAACACCTATGTTTTGTCAGTTGCAGAGATGCAGATGTAGGCAGATGGCAAAAGAAAAGAAGATGTGTTATGTAGCGGGCACATTATTTCAATTTGCTCTGATGACCTTGCGAGTGAATCATGGTCATGCCCGGGGTACTGAAATCGTTCCTTGTGGTCAGCCAAAGACAAACACGCCTACTGGAAGAGTTGCAGAAAGGAAGCCAATGTTCGTTGCGGAGAGACCAAATTTCCGCTGATTCTGTTGCTCGGTTTTGTGAAAAGGGTACGCTACATGGGTTACTAATCCATTATCTTTGTTGGGCTGTTTATACCCCGGATCTACCTGCTGTAGTGGGAATTGCAGAAAGCCCTATTATAACCATAGAACCAAGCATTGATGGCATTGGCTGCTGATCAGCTGCATTCATGAACTCCAATGACCATGGAAAGTCTTAGCTTAAGACACAGTCACGCTCGGCCAGTATCAGAGCAAAAAGGTTACGAATCATGCGCTTTGTTCCCCCCTTCAACCGAACGGCAAAGTTGTAGTTCTGCCTTTCTGGTGTGTTTTTTGCTGGAATTTACGACTACGACTACGACTACGACTACGACGACTAGTGCTGCTGCTGCTGCTACAACTACTACTTTTACTACTACTACTACTACTACTACTACTACTACTACTCCTCCTCCTCCTCCTACTACTACTACTACTACTACTACTACTACTACTACTACTACTATTGCTATTACTCCTACTACTACTACTACTACTACGATTACTACTATTACTAATGCGACTACCACTACGACAACGACTACGACTACGACTACGACGACGACTACGACTACGACGACTACTTCTGCTATTACTACTACCACTACTACTACTCCTCCTACTTCTACATAGTACTAGATGTCTCACTAAAGTGAGTTGCTATCCAATGGCAAGGCTGGTATTGACAAGCTTGCAGCGTTTTTTGTTTCTTTTTTTTTCCCCCCACAGGGTTGGGGCCTCCCACCTGGTTCAGCAACGATGTGCATGTGACTGATCCTTCAGAACCAGTGGGCCTTCATGAGCCAAAGTGAGGTGTGATCCAGCGAAAGCGGGCTTTCCAGTTGGAGCCTCAGGAGTGCTCACTGTTGCCGCACCGGTAGACACAAGCAATTGGAAATGCATGGCTTTTGGGCAATGCAATTGCACAGCCTCCAACTATGGACGAACCGCTGAATGTCGAAAGTGGGCGCAGCCGACCGGCAACAAGCACAAGAGTCCTTTGGCAGGTTGGGTGAAAGCTGAGCTTGTTGGCGCCGTGGTAAGCCAAAAATGAAGGACACACTGGGTGTATTTTGATGCTTTGTCAAGGTTACTCCTTTTGGGTTGTCTTCACGGGAACTACAGTAAAGGGCAACCATCCACTCTAAGGTTTCCTGTTTGCAAACAAAGCCTGCGGAACGTAAGATGAGTTCAGTGAATTCAGGGCAGCTGACATGAAAGCAAAAACTCTCCGCCTTAACCTTCGATTGGGCGCTTTGGGTTGAATGTTTCATGTTTGCCCTTTCTTTAATTACATCCACTGATAGTTGCTACCCTCCCACCAGCTAACATGGAAGTGCACAGACCCCTGTAGAAAGACTACTTTCCTTTTGGAAAGGGTCTGTTTGCACTTCCATGTTAGTTAGTGGGAGGCTACCCCTTTTCTGCGGTCGCTGTCATCTGCAGGTTGTGTCGCCGGGAGGTGCGAGGGGAAGGGAAGGGGGGAAGGGAAGGGGGGAAGGGGAAGGAGACGCCTATCGGGCTGTGGGTTGCTTACTAATCTGATCAAGCAAAACGTCTTTTTCAACCTGGAAATCTGAGGGGGGTTTTCACACCAAAAGTGAAGGATTTTTCCATTCACAACGATACATCGCATGGCAAGTCGGCCCACCGCTTTGAATTTTCCAACTGTCATTTATCTATGCCTGACTTGTCCAAAACAACACTTTGGAGCATTTGTTGTGTTCATTAGTGGTTGCTGGAAACAACATAATTTGAATGTATTAACTGTTGAGCTAGTAGGTTTCTCAGTCAAGGTGAAACAGTCCATCACCCTCTCCTTGGACTAAGCTATTCCAGTGATTGTTTCTGAACTTGTTACCTGCTAGAACGGATTCAGTGGAAGCACTGGAAAAAGTACTCAAAGGGTCCAGCTGCTGCCACTTTCATTTTTTTGTACAAGTTGACAAAGCGCCGGCCGATTCCAGCCTCAAGGGGGAGGGTTGATGCCTGATGTTTGCTCCCAGATTTTTCTTAAATCCCGTCAAAACGATCTCACGAGATCCCCCCCCCCCCCCAAGCAAGAAAGGGCTCCCTGGGCAGCTATCATTACAGGCCGCGGAGTAGGCGTCCTTCAGTGAGCATCAAGATAGAGTCAGCCATTGCAGTTCCCATCGGCCTATGTCAAGTGTCCCTTTTCAACGAGATGCGTTGAGTTTTTCGTGACCAAGCAGCAACACCGCAGCGCCATGGCGACACTTGTATACAGCATACCCAGCCCGCCTGCAACTGAAACGTGGACAGCTTCCATTCTATGGTCCGGTCAACCCGGCAAAGATCCATAAACAGAACGTGGGGATGGATCTGAAGGGTTCGGAGAACCTCTTTGACCGTCTTCAGCTGCGGAGTGCGACAAAGGCTCCTCGAAGGCTGCTACAGCGCCTCGGTCCTTGACAAGCTGCAGGTCTCAGCCAGTTTTGACTCAGGGTCCACTTTTCGGAGTCCATGGATTGGCTGCACGAGCAGCATGTTGGGTTCTGAACATTTGGGCATGGCATTTCCTCAGGTGCACTTTGTTGGGTGTACGCCGCAAACGCTCGCAGCAAGTTCTCATGAATATCAGACAGGGTTATCCTCCCCTCGTTCAGAGGAGAAGAACTTGGAGACTACACGAGGGGCTGTGGGCACTGTGGAGGTTTCTGCCGAGGGGTCGAAGTCCTCGCAGGCGCAGCGCTGCCTGGCCTTGCCGCTACGATCTGTGTGCGGTGCTTTCCGGGCACCGGGGGTGCGTGAACTCCATCCACTGGACCCCCGACGGCGGGGGCTGGGGGGCTGGGGTGCCGGGCTTGCTGGGGGAGGCGCTCCCCCTCTGATAAAAGGGGGATTTGGGGGAGGGGAGCCTGAAACTTGGTCTATGCTTCCAGAGCGACTTGTCCCAGGCATGATTCCATTTTCATGTATTTTTTTGGGTAAAGACTGGGTTACAGGCGAGGGGATGCGGTGTGCTCAGAACATTTGAGATGGGGATCTGCTGTCCAGGCAGATTGGTTAGAAAAGGCGTCGTTATGAAAATGGAGGAGCGAACTAGCACCCAATGCAGTGTGAAGGAAGGTGCGAGTTTTCGAACATGATGTTAATATAGTTTTCCGAGCCATCATGCTGTTTTCCGTAAATTCATCTGAGTCAACATCAAAACCATAGATAGTACTGTGATCGCATGCTTGTGCGTCCTTAAAGGATGGCACTATTGCTTTATCTTTTTTTTGGTGTGTGTGTGTGGCACTGGAATCACACTGCATCAACCCCACATTAGGATGCATTCACGATGTTCAATGCTCAAGGGCCTTGCGATGGGGACACGGGGAGTTTTTCGGGGTCACGTCTCAGTTGCTTCAGCTTGAAACCTCGCGAGCTCGACCTTCGATACCTTTGGGCTTGGCTTCTTCGTAAACCGTCCAGAGGGTCAGAGGTCATCTTGTGGAACCCGTTCATTCAACGACTCTGGGACCCACTCTACGCCTGTGAGGCGAAACCCTGAGAATTCGCGAGAGACAAATCTTCTGTGGTGACTGTTGGGGCCGGTAGGTGAGACAAGGGCAAGGAGAATCACTGGCCTGCCCTCACTCCACACCCAGAATTAGACCAAGTGATTGCGTGAGACTTGGCTTCTACTTCCATCACATTCTCTCCCGCAATCACTTCATATTGGATTATTATTGCAATATTATTGGATTACTTGGTTTCCCATCTAC